TCTAAAGCAATTATTTGAAAAGTAGTTAGAGGACTTTCTGATATTTCATTAGAGGTGCCCACTCATACCAACTTACAGTCCATCAAAATACGGTGTGTACAGAATTGTATCTAACTCCTTGTGAATTATTTCAGGCAGGAGTGCATACCTACTGCCTCCAACAATATAGACAAACTGTGCTCTATCTCTGAATAGTTCCAGAATTCAATTAAAGTTTCAATATCTAATAATACTTTTATGACTAATCCAGATTTCTTGCCAAAAGTATTCTTACTACCATGATATAAGAGGAATAAAACACAATAAAGTATGATGAATCTGAGTTTCTTTGATTTTTGTTCTCCATTCTAAACTCACCTGATTTTACTAAAATGTCAAACCTAAAGTGTTTACAAAAACATTATATCAAGGTTTAACCATACTTAACTGACAGTAAAAAATCTTCTTTGATAAAGGAAGTTCTTATTCTAGTAGGAACTTAGTCAGAGAGAAAAGAAATAACAACATATATACTAAGATTGCAAAAACAAACTTAGTAAGTGGAATGTAATGTGGCATTCAGCCCAGATGCTTCAGTAGGCATAGATGCTTGAGATATATTTACATGTTGGCTCCCAAATATTTAAATTCAAGAATTACCCAACCATGTGGCTAGCACATTTCACCTAATGTTAAAAATATGCTGTGATGCTGAAACCAAGCTTCCTCTTCTACAAGTTTCATTTACTTAACAGCATTTCCACTAATTGTTTTAAAGCTTACCCATTCAAACATCTTGCAAATAACTGTACTAAATTTTTTCAGATAAAAGGAATTCAAATCCAAAAATTGGTTTTTATCTAACTAGCTGTCTTTTACTAACCACTTCTTCACACTATCAAACATTAAACACAGGTCTCTACAGATAAGCTATTTGTTTTCCAACAGATGGTCTCAATGGCTATGTTCATCTGACACGAAACATCCTTTACAACCCGTAATCCTATGCCGAAACTGTGGACTTTCCCCCCTCATAACCTTATCAACATAATTTTTAAAAATTCATTAAGTACTATAAAATGAAAATATTGTTATTTGTACTATAGCTTTGGGGGGTAAGTGGAGATACAGCATTAATCATAACAAAATTTCCTAAAATAAAATTTATAGATCCTGTAATATATATTATAGCAGTTTACCAAATATAAAATCCAAGTGTATTACTGCTGTGTCTTCAAGTATATTTTATGAGATTTTAAATATGTATATAAATAATACAGACTATATGCCAACATATAATATTAATGTACTTTTAGAAGTAATGAATATGATACTTTCAATTTGCATGCCCATGGATCAAAGTCTAAAGTATTACACATTCTTCAGAGAAAAGCCTTCAGTGAAAGCTTCTTTAAAAACATTAGCATTAGTGGTGACTGACTCCCTTACCGCTATGCCTTCCTGCAGATTTAGAATAAAAGAACTGATAGGAAATGAAGTTAAGTTGGAAGATTCACATTACTGATTTCAAGACTTACTAAAAAGCTACAGTAATTAAATCAGTAGTGTTAAAAATCAGAAGTATTTAAAAAAGAATAGACAAATAAATAAATGGAACAGATGAAAAATTCTAGAAATAGACTTATATAAATATAGTAAATTGATTTTTGACAAAGGTACAAAGGCAATTCAATAGGAAAAGGTAATCTTTTCAACTAATAGTACTGGAATAACTGGACATCTATACATGGAAAAAAAAAGTACACAACAACCATACCTCATGCCTTTATAAAAATTAACTCAAAATGGATCATAGACCAATATGTAAAACCTAAAATTATAAAATATCTAGAAGAAAAAACAGGAGGAAATCCTAGTGACTGTGTATTAGGCAGAATTCTTATATACAACACCAAAAGCACAACTCATAAAAAAAATAATAATAAAAAAATGGACTTTAAGAAAATTTAAAACACTTTCTCTGCAAAACTACTGTTAAGAGAATGTAAAAAATTATTTTCAGATTGCATATCTGACAAATGACTTATATCCAGAATATACAAACAATTCTCAAAATGCAGCAATAAGGAAACAAGCAACTCAATTAGAACTGAGCAAAAGATATGAACAGAACTCACCAAAGAAGACAGCAAATAAGCATATGAAAAAATGTTTAACATTATTATTCATTAGGGTAAAGGTACGTTAAAACCACAATGACAAGTCACTACATACCTATTTAGCTAAAAATAAAAAGGAAAATGATGAAAATCACATGCTAGCACAGATGCAGAGCAATTAGTATTGCCTTACATTGCTAGTGAGAATTCAAGATGATACAACCACTTTGAAAAACGATTTGATAATTGTTTCTTATAAAGTTAAATAAACACTTATCATGTAACTCAGAAATCCAACTCCTAATGAAAACTTATAATCACACAAAAATCTATCCATGAATGTTTACTGCAGCTTTAGTCATACTTGCTAAATAATAAAAACAACCTAAAGGCCATCAGCAAGTATCTGGATAAACAAATGGTACATCCATACAATGGTATATCACTCAGCAGTAAAAAGAAACAAACTACTGATAAACACAACGTTAATGAATCCCAAATATATTGTTACGTGGAAAAGTCAGACCCAAATGGCTACATGCTATATGATTCCATTTATATGACATTCTGGAAAAGGTAAAACTGTAGGAATAGACAACAATTTTTTTGTCAAATTTTTTTTTTTCACAAATGGAGGAAGGGTATTCAGTGAGGATAGTAAAGTCTTGAACAAATGATGTGGGAACAGTAAATGTAGAGAGAAAATGAACCTCAGCCTCTATCTAACATCACACACAAATATTAATTTGAAATGGATCACAGACCTACACATGAAAAAGCTAAAACTATAAAGCTTCCAGAAGAAACAACAGATTATCTTTGCAACCTTGGGATACAGAAAGATTACTTAGCTCATAAAATAAATACCCAAAAGAGAATAAGATTCATAAGCTAAAATTCATCAATATTTTATAATTTATAATCATCACAAGAAACATTAAAAAATGAAAAGGAAAGTGAGCAATTAGAAGAAAATATCTGTGATAAATATATATGAAAAAGGACTTATATCAGAATATATAAAGAACTCTTACAAATCAATAATAAAAACACAAACAACCCATATTTTTAAATGGACAAAAACTTGAAGAGAAATTTCATAAAAGAAAATGTGTGAATGGTCAATAAGTACATGAAAAATGATGAACATCATTAATCATCAAAAAAATGTGAATTAAAGTCACAATGAAATATCATTTTAAAATAACTGGAATGGCTAAAAAAGACTGACAATATCAAATGTTGCAGAGGATGTAAAACAATGGAAACTCTTATACATTGATGGTAAAAATATAAAATGATGCAACCATTTTGGAAAAAAACTTTGACAGATTTTTTATCAATATACACCTATCCTATAACCTAGCAATTACACTTTTAACCAAGAGAAATCAAAACCTATGTCAACAAAATACTTGAACAATAACATTTGTGGCAATTTTATTTTACAATAGCCCCAAACTAGAAACAACCCAAATATCTATCAAATCACAATCTATCAAATTATGGTGTAATTATAAAATGAATACTATTCTACCATAAAGAATGAACCATTGATACCCCCAACAACATAGATGAATATCAAAAACATTACTTTGAGTGAAATAAACCAACCACCAAAGACTATATACTAAATGATTCCATTAAAAGGAAATTCAACAATAGGTGAATGAATATAATCTATGACAGGCATCAGAACAATGGTTGCCTATGGGGAGTGGAAACTGGCTGTAAGTGGACATGAAAACATTCTAGGGTAATAAAAATGTTTTAAGTCTTAAGTGGGGTCATAGTTACATGGCTGTTTGCATTCACCAAAACATCACATTGTACATGTAAAATCTGTTCACTTCACTGTATGTCAACATTACTTCTAAAAAATAAAATAAAATAAAATAAATTGTTTCAGTCTTTTACTTCAGTAGTAGAAAATGCAGAGCATATCATATCACATATCACATATTAAAGACATCTTTAATACAGTGAACAAATGGCTACTTTAAGAGAGTGTATTAATTCATTCGAATTCATTGAGAAAGGCATAAGTTCACAAAGGCCAGAATGGTGTTATTTTAAGCAAACTGAAACTGTTTGTTAACAAATATAAAATACATTTGGTTTCTTTTTTTTAATTATACTTGCTAATATACAGATGAGTGGACCAAATAAGAGGTTAAACACTGAATCAAGCATGGGAAGAATAAATAATCTTTCAGTTCCTAAGTATCCCATCTTGAAAACAAGTGCTCTATTATTAAATTCAATATATAAAAAGTATACGCTACCATTATGTTATTCCTGATTGGGCAGGAATGACAGTTACCAATATAAATTAGTTGACACTAATTTGTGTAGGAAAAAAAATATGGTTATGTTAACTACCCGTAACTTCTGTTGTAGAATAGAAGACATAATAGTCAATTATTTTGCTACTGGATCTACAACTATAACTCTAGTTCTTACACAGTGTTAATAGTATCACAAATTTCACCCCAAATGAATTAAAACGATGGTTCACATAGGAGCCTCTACAAGTGGAGTAAACTAGATAAGAGGATACCTATACTAAACTGAAAATATTTTACCATATCTCTTTAACCTTTTATTTTTAAAATAAAGAAAATACAATTTTAGCTTTTAATTGATCAATGCATCCTGAGATATTTTAACCAGAAACCCATCTGTTTTCAAACTTAAGTGAAAGATAATCCTTAACACATAGGCACACACAACATACATCCATTTATGTATTTGTGTGTTTGTATATGTATCACTTGTGCCTAACAAGTACTATGTGGTTCTCAAGAAGTTTTCAACTGACTTGGCAATAGTACTAAAAGAAAATACTTGAAATAAAGACTGAGCATTCATTTTTCAAAGCTCTTTGTAGAAGGAGCATACCTGTGCCCTCTTCTGCACCTCTAGGAGGAGCTCTGAATACTGCAGCTCCAGCTCCTTCTTTTGTTTGTGCCAGCAGCTCTCCTGGGCTTTAATCTGCTCTGCCACTTTGTTGAAGGTGTCTTCCTGGGTCTGCTGAAGCTCTCGCATAGTATCAGACTTGTTTTTACAGATATACTCTAGATGACTTATCTAAATGGAAAAAATGCAACAGAGAATGAGATATGCTGACAAACCATTTCCTTGTATCACCTCTTGCAAAAAATATCTAAAATTTTCTACTACATTTTATTCCTTAAGAGAAACATTTTAAGTTAAAATGAAAATTAAGAAATCATAAAACAGGAATTAGTTAGGGCAAATTATCATGTTAGCAGTTATCATGTTAGTGTCACTTGTATGCTTAGATGAGAAATCTTTTATTCTTCTCTAATAAAGTTACTCATTCTATAACCAATTTTACTTTAAAAATTAAGAATATTCTTATTTCTATGACCAAAGCTCATATTACTCAGATATCTTAATGGGAAAGAAAAGTATTTAAATGAGACTTACAAATCTGTGAACATTGTACATATAAGAAAGCAGAATTTTCCAACCATTTTTTCACATTCAAAATACTGGAAAGAAAACCCTCATCATCTAACATATATGACAATTAACGATATTTTTAAACTATAAAAATCTACTAAAACATTATGCCATTTCAGAGGGTTAAAAAACATGGACTCATTTTAATTATCAATAATTTTCAAACCCATTATAAACACATTTACAATCATAAACAGCATCTATGTCTCTCAAAATTTATTCTCTCATTTCCTCACTCCTACTTCTCAGTGCCTATGGTTGTTTCCCAATTGGATCAAAGTAAAATGATCTCCCTTACCTTAAAATTGGGCCAAGATTAAAAAGAAAAACTTCGGGGAACAGTTTTTCTTTTCATGCCCCTTAAGAGCAAAGGTCGTTGCAACTAAGATCTGGAAACTAAACCACATAAACATAGTGCTGACCAGTTCAATAGACCCAAGATAAGAATCAATATCTTTAATGGTGTTATATGTTGGCCTGCTAAGCCATTTCCATTTTAATTTTCTATAACCAAAAGGTTTTCAATTTTTTTTGAAAGACTTCCCAGGCTTGTGAATGATAAAGTGACAATAACATCTACCATTTTCTCCTACAATATATACTTCTTATAATCTAAAGCACTGAATGGGTTTGGTAATATACAGTTTGTTATATTTCAAGAAATGTCATAAGCATAATTTAAAATTTTTAAGTGCTTTTAAAGTAACACCTCATTATTTCCTAAGCAAAGAATTTTAGGATTATGTTTTTGAATAACTGTATCTTGTTTCTATTTTATGCTAACATAAAGAGTTGGTTTATTAATGTAAATGACTAAGTTCTTTGAATTGCTTCATCAGTAAGATTAATTTATTTTCTTTTAATTAGGTCCCTGTGGCTAATACTGGCTAGTAGTATTAGCATGTCCTGCACAGAAGGTGGAGCTTAGAGACTTCATACAGACTTCAGTCACATTTACATGCCCACAGCAATGGCATCAAACTGAGTTGTAGACAAGCCATAATTAATGGTATTGAATTATTAACATCCAAATTCTTTTTGAAATAAGATGAATGTCAGCCCCTCTTAATGATACTGTGATGTGGACAAATGTCACTGAATTTAATAGAGGTATCTGGTGCCTGAGGACAGTTACCTTCTCATTAGCCCTGTTAAGGTCTGCGATCAGGGCATCAACATTCTCCTGCAAGACTGAACAAAGCTCAGACCAAGAGAATTTATCCAGCATGCCTTCTGGTTGTTTTATGAGCACACAGCCTGCTATCAAGTGCTGATACAAGGTATGAAGAAAGGTTAGCTTCTCCTGCGAAAAAAAAAATAATTAATTCCCGTATATAAACAGTGTAAGAAGTAAAAAACAAAAATCGCATGGTAAAGAATGTATTTCAAAAACCTAGAAAGGAATTAAAATACTCAAGTCTCAGAATATTGTCAATTTGGTGCCTTTTTTTACATTCATAATTAAGCATCAGATAGAAACTGGGCATGGCTTACACTTGGTATTCAAAACCCAAATCTAAAGTCTAGAAATCAGAAGACCAGGGTTTTTACCCCAGCTCTGCTACTATTGAGGATGTGATCTGAGCAAGTGCATGTTTGGGCCTCAGCTTCCTCAGCTCTAACATGAACTATCTGAACTAGTTGTTTCTAAGCTTTTCTAACTAGAAATCAGTATGGTAATTCTATAATTTCATATTTACATTTGCTAAAACGTTATTTTAAGTCAAAAACCAATATAGAGAGAAGAGTGTTACTCAACTCTTTCAAAGAAAAAGTTATACCAATATCTGTACTTTACAGGTACACAATTACTCAGCTTTCTTCCTCCTCCTCCAGAGACTCCAGTTTACTTACCACTTATAGGAAATCTATCCCAAGCCCCTTAGGCAAAGCAGACAGTGATATGAAAGATATAGAAGATGGGCTCATTTGTTTTCCCCACTTGTAAGTTCATATAGTATTTGGCACAGTGGGTATTTGTAGGTATTTAAATATTGCAAAGTAATGGGGGAAAAAATGGACACTGCTGTCCAAAATATACTTTCAAAACTATCTAATTAGAAACACATAAAAATAAAGTTCTTTAAAATTATAATGCCATTGCAATAACTGAAATATCCATTGTTCAATGACCTAGAAACACTATGCTATAGAATTCAGTAAAAAGTCGATCTCATCTTGAACGCACAAGGAGAGTTTACTTACTAGAAATGCCAAATGGCTGTCTTTATAAAGTGTTTCATCTATAAAGCCCCAAATAATGAAACTCAAGACAAAGTAAATGAACCTGCAAAATGAATATTTTATGTAGATAAAAAAAAAAAGTTCCCTTAAGATTTTTTTAAAAGATCAGCAGAAAAAGAAATTTTTTAAAAGGAGAAATTTTAAGAGGGAAAAAATAAAAATTCTAACCTTCTAGATAAGAAAAACTAAATACAGCATATATAAAGGTTTTGCAATTAGAAATTATGGGGAAGTTTTCTGATATATATCAAAATGTGTATCTTTAATTCTCCCTATATGCCAGCTTAGTTTTTTCCAAATATAACAATTAAAAAATAAAAATATGAATATGTAATTAAAACCATAAACGAGTTAGGATATCAGAATCTTCATAAATATGCTATATGCCTTTCTCTTTTTTGAGAATTAAAGATGTCTTTCGCATTTTCAATTGGTTGAGATGTTTAAAAATCATTACATATAACTACCCAAATGTAATATTCAGGCACTTAAAACCATCCCTCTCCACATTTTGCCTTTGAGTTCATCCTCCAGGATAACTCATTGTGTCGCCATTATGTCCTTTTTGCTTGGGCTGTGATAAACCATGCATGATAATCATCCATTTGGCATGAAAAGAGAATCTCAAGATCCAAAATCAATTCACACATGTTGAACCCAACCACAATGCTGTAGACATGCTGACTTTACAATACAGTCAGGCTTCTCGTTTCCTTTACTTTAATCATTATCTGATGTGTAGAACAATTCCAGCCCCTTCATGTGGACACAATTTAAATCCCAGACTGTAAGAAGAGGGGAAAGAATGTTTCCTTTTTACTCTCTTGGCATTCATGTTCATATTTGTTGGAGTAATGAACTCAATATGCAGGACGGCTCAGATAAACCAGTTCCACACTAGCAAGACTAGTTCTATATTCCATGGATAAGAGAAAATATAACAATTCCATTCACACAGGCTCATACAGAATATTAAAGTTTTGTCATCATATTTTAAGAAGTCATTAATAAATTAAAATGGACAGACAACTCTCTAGGGCATCCAAATAAAGTTTTAATTCTGAGGGATTTATATTATTCTACATTTGGATATAAAGAGTAAGAAGACCCTCTATTAAAGTAAATATTTCTGTTTTGCAAATAAGGTAACTCCGATGTGGAGAGACTAAGCTATGTGGGTTGTCCATATTCACACAATTCATAAATAGAATTTCCAGGATCTAAGTCCAGTTCCTTCTGATTACAAAAAAAAAAAAAATAGACAATGTTTCTACCATGCCAAGCTACTGAATGACTGAAAAAAAAAGTTTTGTCATTAGCAATCAGACAAACCTTGAAAGGACTGTTAGGAGCACAGCTGCTTGAGATATGATGTTCTAAATAGAGAAAACTAGTTGCACAAGTGATAGAAGGGTTAATCTATACTACTTCTCTCACAAAATAGGATGACACAAGAGTAAATGAGTGACTGATTTTGCAGGTGGCATGAATACTTCAAAATCATCAGCTCCAAACAATTTTTTGAATTAAATCAAATAAGAGTAAAAATAGCCACTTGATGTATGTAAATGTATAAGACTGAGATTTGTGAAAGGCCTTTCCTGACAGTCTCTTGTCTCAGGTAATACCTCGGCATCCTTCTGGTAAGCCTGAGAAAGCTTCTGCAGTTCACACTCAGATTGGGCTGCTCGCGCCTTTTCTTTCTCCCAACAGTGCAGCACATTTTGTAGTTCCACTTTCAATGTGCTTATTAGAGCCTCTCTATCTGCACACTTAGTGCGTAAATGACTTAACTCTTTACTGACATCAGCCAGTTTATCCTGAAGGTCCTGTTGGAGATACCAAAAAAAGAGGTTGCATGATGGCTGGCCAACATAAGGGTGGGGAACACAAATATAAAATACTTAATGGAGACTTCCAAAGCTTTAACATAAAAGAATCGCAAAAGCAAGCATTTGATGATAATGCTAAACATGAGGTATTTTATTGAATGCATTTTCTAAGCATAATATTATGGCAAAAACTTAGAAAATGTGTTGTTTTAACATTTAAACATAAAATGTTAATAAAATAGCTTATTCCAAAAAACTCTTTTCCTTTAACCCATTATTAAAGAAATAACTTGGTAGCTCACAAAATTTTAATATATGTAAATAACATTCTAAAAATAAATCTCTTACATTTGATTTAATATAAGAACATTTACTTCTCAGTAACATTCCAAATACTAATACAAATCTCAAATATGTGGCATAAAATTCTGCTGAACTATTTATTCCTTAACCTTAACAAATTCTATTGAAGTATGTCCATGACAAATTTAACATGATCCAATACACACACACACACACAAAAAATCCAACAATACTGAGAAACTCAGAGAGTTTCTTCAGTATAGTTTTGCAAAGATGTAGTACATAAAAACCAACAGAAAAAAATAAACTGTTATCCTGGACCTGAGCCAGGTGTAGTCTTAGCCCATTGCTAAGCACACCAAAGACAATATCTCCACCTAAAATGATGAAAACTGACTTCGAATACTGATGGGATTGTGTAAATTATGTTTACTATGTATCGAAGGGTGAGTATTAAATCTTAAATCATTTTTTGAGCCTATGATATTATAATTAAATCTGGGAAATAAGTTTTTCCATTAACCAGAACAACATCTAATCAAATTTTATTTTTTTAATGAAAAAACATTCTTGTTACTCTGATCAATAAAAAATTAAAACTATATCCAAACATACTTAATAAGAAATAGGAAGGTATGTTTTCAGATATCTCTACTTAAAAAGTTTTCCTGAAAAATTATATTTGTTTCTTAATACAAAGAAAAGAGTTATTTTAAATCATAATACCTTTATATTTTTTGTGTGAGAGTCTATCTTCTGTTTGGTAGAATCAAGTTCATTAGATGCCTTTTCCTTAGCATCATTCATGCTGTTTAGCTGATGAAAGAAAATATAAGTAACTTTTTTATATTTTTCAAGGACAGGTAACTTGAAAGCTAATCTTTAAATGTATTTTTTATGCAATTACTTAATATAAATTTTTCAATAGTAATTAAGAGCCTTAGAAATTATTTCTCTTGGTTAACTATGTAATTTCTGTCACAAGCTCATAAAGCTAAAAAGAAAAAGCATTCAAGCTTAAAATGTCAGTGATGTTATTGTATTTTTACTACATGTCTGGATAAAAGATTTTATTCGTACTGTAAACAAACATAACTTTATTCTTAAAATCCTGCCGGACCAAAATGCCAGAAACAGTGGCATCTATAAGGAAAGAAAAAAGGACAAAGCAGAAGACTGTTCTTTCTATACATCAGGAGGGTATTCACTGGTCTCTCACTCCATATGACAACTTCAGGGTCGGTCACATGCAGTCCTACTGGGAAGGCTTGTGGCAGGTCATCAGTTGGTCCTGCTCCGCTTGTGATTTATTTTCTTTGACAGTTCATTCTTCTTTCTGTCAGACTGCTCTTTTTGCTTTCTTTGCAGCCACCCCCTTGGTCTCCCCACTGCTGTCTCTGGCACTGGTTCACAACAAAGCACATTACTAAGCCAAAGCCTGCTGAGTCGACTTTTCAACTGTGCTGAGGATCATGTGACATTCATCCTCCCAAATAACAATTCGCTGTGGGTAATATGTTCCTAGTTACCCTGCAGCTTCCAGACCTAGGCCTCAAAAGAGTTTCATAAAGTACTAACAACACAGGTTGTCTTGTCTCACTGGGAAAAGACTTAGCAGTATTTGTTCTTTATAGAAATTTAATTATTTCATGCTCACTTTCTTTTATGCCTTCTGAATAATTACAGATGGTATTAATAAGATTCACTTTTCCTTCTTTGTTCACCTTCTTAAACAAAAGTAAAATAAGCCCCTTGAAATGTGAAAAGTTTCATTGTATTATATGAAATAAACAGATAAACAGAAGGATAAACACTAACTTCCATGGTATGTAGTTGTTCTTAAATAATCTGTTTGTTGTTTTGCTAACTCATTGTATTTAATGTAATTACTTCAATTCCCTAATTTGACAAGATGTAACTAAGCAAACTTCAATTTTTAAAGCACAAATTCACAAAATATTTTAATATCCAAAAAAATTATCAACCTACACGAGATGATTAAGTAAAAGCATGAGCTTTTTGAGTTAGCAAACTAAAAACTTCCAAGCTATCTCAAACGAACATTTGTTTTTAAAAACTTCTAACAACACTTTACTACTCCCTTTAGAGAATGAAAATTAACTTATCTCTTTTTTATTAAGATTTCCACAATTCATAGAAATCTAAACCTAAAATATTGACAAAATCTAAACTTCCACTGCCTATTCCAAATTTCATAAAAACACATTAACATTTAACTGCAACACATATTAACTGAAATGACTTGTAGAGCTTTACATTAAAATAAAATAAATAAATTTTGAAGTTCAAGAAGTGACAGTCTTTATAACTTTGAAAATAACAGTGTTATTGTAGTTACAAAAACATAAGTGAGACATGACTTTAGGCCACACTTAAAGAACAGTGACAATTTATTATTTTTTTGTATCTGTGAAGTTGCCAATTCAACATTCTCAATTTTTCTGACCTTTATAACAAGCAAGGGGTACGTACTGTTGTAGGCCGAAGGCTATATGTGTGGAACCAAACAGTGCAAGTGTTACCTCATTAGATGCATCTTCCAGCTTGTTCTGGTAATCTGTCAAGGTACGCCTTAAAATCTCAAGGACAACAGAGAAGCTGGGAGGTTTATCTTTGTCCTTGTGGATGCCTAAAGAAAAATATAGGATGAAAGTATACCCTTAAAGTCACAAGGAGACAAAAGCTAATCAAACAGTAACAGAGATATTACTACAATTGGATAGAGCTGAAAAGACACTACGAAACATTGAATAGAATCTTACTCTCTAAAGTACACCACTGTATAGCCAAAAATTAATAGCTTTTCTAAAAAAGTGGTCAGATTAAGTTCATAATATATCAAGTTTTAACTTATAGCTACTTTGTACCTTACCAAGACCTACACCACAGTCAGTGGTGAGCTCTTTTTTCCTATCTCCTAACTCAGGTGTTTTGTACATACCTTTTATTCAACCATTAAATGAACAGTCTATACTAACATTGTTTGGGGGAATTATGTACACTTACTTTGGTCTTTGTTTCTGATCAGTCAGACCTATTTTGCTTAAATAATAATTTCTGAATCCAAAAGCACATAATTTTCTGTTATTCTTGGAAATATTCTTCAATCCTTAAAATTCTCAAGTTACATTTTGAAGTAAATAATGAAAATGCTATTATCTACATAGGCCCATATGACATTTCAATTACAATGATACTCACTGTAAAAATATAAGTATTTCTGTATCATGGCCTCAAACTATTTTAATTCAGCCAGGCCATAAATTAGTTGAGCTAATCAAGGTTACATGGTAAAATGTAGTTCAAAATATTAACCCAAAGTAATGAAAAGTTTAGTTTCAAAAACCATATTAAATTGACTGATTATTGTACTACTCTTTAACTGTTAAAAAAAAGTAACAAATTTAAAAATATTCTTATTAAAAATATTTTTTCCTATTATAATTTCTCCCCACATTTTACAATAAAAATATTTCAACAGACAAGAAACACATTTTCAACAATGATAATTTTTAAAAGAAGCATTCATAACATGAGTATTATTATTTACTGACTCATTCATTCAACTGATTTACTGAATTCCTACTCTGCACTAATCCAAGACACTAGGCACGTGGAGGTGAATGCAGTTGTTGTAGTCTCTGTCCTCAAAGAATTAATAGTCTAAAAAGAAGAGGAGAGATAGTAAACGAATAATTACATAAAATCATTTATATATTCTTCAAGTATCCAACTGTTGAAACTTTGAGGAAATAGAGAAGAAATTAGTAATAAAGAAAGAAAGAAGGAAAAAAAGAAAAAAGGGGGAAAATTTTTTAATGATAAGACCACCTTTTTTCATCTCAGAGTATTGATATTTAGTGTTTTAATCTTAGACAAAATTTTATTAATAAATTTATTACATTCATCAAGATATAATTTAAACCTTATCTTAAGTATGGGTATACTCTAGATTTTCTTAAATAGAAGAAAATTTAACTTAAAAAACAAAAATAATATGGAAACAATCTATATCCCAGCTAGGGGAAAAAAATATACTGCTCTAAGCCGTGATAATGGAGAAGACAGTTCTCTTTATAATGACTATGAGTTGGAAAGACAACTCATTAAAAATTTTATTAAAGGTCTTACCAAATATATATTTTTAAAATTGCTCTCTTGCACAAGATTAAAAAAATGTAATGTATAATTCTTTTCTTTTGCTACTACACAAGTAGGCCATGAATAAATCATTCAAGGACACTCGGGAAATCTGCTGGCTTTTACAATAAGGGAGAAAACTTCCTTTTAGAAATTCAGAAGAATAAAATCATCTTAATATGAGTATTGAGAGGTAAGGGACAAAATGCCTATCCTTACTGACTCATACATATTCTTATATTCTACATAAAATAAAGTTTAGTTTCTGTTTATAAAGTTCAGCTGAAGTAAAATTATGTTTTGTGTCCAACCCACGTCCAGTATAAAAAGATATAATTACTGGTCCCTTAATATGACAAAATGCTTACAAATAAAAAGAAAGGGTCACTGAGGACCCAGGACCTTCATGACTGATTTAATTTAACTTAATATTATTCTAATGACTGTATTGCAGCCCCAAAAAAATAGAGTATTAAAGATATCTTATCAGAGGAAAGTCTAAAAATTCACAGATAACAAAGAGTAAAAAAATTTTTTGAGCAGTGATCATAAATGGCTTTTCAAAGGTCAAAGTCTAAATGAAGAACAGAATGTATCTGAACACTCTATATTTCAATAACACCAATTCAACATATTCTGAGTTTCTCTGTCCTTCTCCCTATGTGTGTGTGTCTCTATACATGGATACTGGCCCAAACTTTCACATCTTTCTGGCTGTTTCAATCTCTCTCACTTTTAAGTACATTTCAACTTTGAGTATACCCTGGCAAATCTTCTCTTTGAATTATTATCCCACAGTAGGGAGCAGGATATAAGAAAAGATTCCAAGCCCTCTAATCTAAGTTTTTTCCCTTTAGACAATCTCAAAAAACAAGCATTTTTACATGACACAAATAAACCTGTTTTTCAAGCTAGTGTTATTTCTTCAGGAACCTACAGTTCCACAATAAAAACACTAAGTTGTAATGAATGAGGTGAGTCTATTGCCTCTATCTTCTCAACTATGTCTTATCTTTTTCAGTATCCTGCAAGACTCCGAAAGTAGAGAATTATTATGAAATAATGGAGAAAGAATATAAGACAGAAGGCTAAAAAAAAAAAATCTGTTATAGAATATGAGTAGTCGTGTTCATCCTCAGAACTAGGAAAAAATCCTTTTGTCTAATGTTGATTTTTAATTGAATCATAAGACAGAAAATAGCATTCAAATGGGTTTTATTTTCACCTGAGAAAATCCAAATATTTAATACACATGACTAGGAAAATCCCTTTTTTTCATTTTAAAAGCATTACATATAAATATTTCATAGGCAGTTATACTTTTCAAACTGAGACTAAATTCTGTATATTAACTCGTCTTATTCACCGAGATCATAAACAAACATCTACATCATCTTGCAAACATTCCAGAGTTTTTAAGGGAAATGGCTCATAACTTTTCTAACATATGGAGTGTATTTATCATGTAAGTCCTGCTTGCCCACCCCTTAACCTTGTTCCCTGGGAGAGTCCAAAAAACACTTCCTTTACCAAGGTTTCGGAAATGTATTGGTGAGGGGGGCCCCAGCATCCTTGACGAGCTCTATGTAGCTACCATGAATAACAGTGGAAAATGATGCCATGAAGCTAGGTTCCCTAAATTCAGTGAGGACGATGGGATCTCGGGTGACACAGGCCAAGTGGTAGCATTTAACTTCTCATGACAAAATGGACACAGAAATCATAATGAGCAGTGAAGTAAAAACAATAAACAAAATGGTTTTACCCACGGAGATCACTGGCATTGGCTAATGGAGCATGGTTCCTAGGACTGAAATAGATATGCATTCTACTTAAGTGTTACCTGATTTTGTATAAGTAAGAAATCTTAGGTTTGATTACCAGAACTAAGATTTAAATCAACACAAAAGAGAGTCTTGGCCTTCAATCAATTCTCAGACCGACCTGAGCTAGTTCACAGACCCAGTACCCTTGAATAAAAAGGATGGGTCCCTTGTAGGAACCCTAACATATTATCAAAAGATAATACTATCAATCTTCCTCCTTGCCTTCCTCAACGAAACATTTGACCATTTTCCAGGGTGATCATACACTGAGGAAGAGGAGTTAACCACCCTTATCAGGGATAACTATACACTGGATCTGAACTGACCAATTCCTGGAGACTTAAAATGCTGTTATAGTTCACTAGTTAGGGTAGGAGCTTACAGAGGTCAGGTGATTACCTGAGTTTGGGCTAAGGTCTATCTCCAGGGAACCCAGTAGGTACCTGAACCCACCTTATAGTGATTTCCCCAGTTTGGAACGCATAGATAAAAAAGGCGAATGCAGAAACTGGTATAATGTCCGTAACGATTAATCCATGAAGAGAGGAATTTACAGACAAAAACCGAATGGAAAAAAGCAAGTGGAAGTCACTAGAACTTTTAGCTACCAAAATAGTAAATCAAAAGTAATGCCACATTCCTTAGGAAACTACAGAGTTTAGTGCCTCTGCTAAGGACTTGAAAGATAAAAGGAGTGGTTATTCCAACCACATCAACATTCAGCTCACCTATCTGGTTTGTGCAGAATACAGATGGATCTTAGAGAATGACAGTGAATTACTATAAGCATAATCACATGTGACTCCAATTTCAGCTGCAGTTAAAGATGTAGTGTCATTATTGGAGCATAGCAGTACATTTCCTGGCAACTGGAATTAAGCTATTTCTTTCATCATCTTAGTAAAAACCACCAAAAGCTCCTTTCAGATGGCAAGGCCAGCAATATACCTTCACTGCCCTACTTCAGAGCTATATCAACTCTAGCTCTCTGTCATAATCTAGTCTATAGAAATCTTGATCAACTCTCCATTCCAGAAGACATCGTGTGTTCCACCTAGTTCTCCAGAAAGATATTATTCTGACTGCTTGAGTTCAAGCAGGTCAAGTTTGGCAGGTCCTTATAAGTGAATCACAGCATAAACTTTTAGGATTTTTGAACCAAAAAAGCCTCCTCTACAGATAACTATTCTCCTGAAAATCAGCTTTAGACTTAATTTGCTACTAGTCCTCAGCAGATACTACAAGCATGGTCACCAATTTGTCATGAGTTGCCCCATGATAAAATGATTAACTTCTGATCCACCAAGCCATAAATGTGGGCAGGCACGACAGCACCCTATCATCAAGTGAACATGATGTATACACGTAAATCCTGAAGGCACAAGCAAGTTGCATGAGCAAGCAGTCCAGGTTCCCATGGGCCCTATTCTTGTTACATTGCTTCCTCTCTCTTGATCCACACACTAGACCCATTGAAAGTTCTCTATGATCAGTTTGCTAGTGGGGGAAAAATGGGCTTTGTATACAACTAGTTCTGTATGATATGCTGACACTTCTTAAAAGTAGACAATTGCAGCACTATAGCCCCACTCAGGGTGACCCGGAAAGACAGTGGTGAAGTGAAACCCTTCCAGTAGGCACATGGACCTGATTGTCATTTTGC